GTCCTTTCCCAAACATAACTGTGACACGGTCAAATGCACGCACCTTAACGCGCATAATGGCTTGTGACTTTAATGACTTGATTAGGTCCTTCCCTACCCTGAAGTCATAAATACACCTTTATCTTCTCCTGAAAGTTCACAAGTTTTGCTGGGAATAACCTCTAGTTATTTAACCCACTTGGTAACTCACCTTACCCTGGGGGTGGGGCGCCAACCCCGCAGCATCCCATCCCGCGGGTCCACCTGTCCGTCCACCTGCCCCGCACCCAGGTCACGTGCAGATGGATGAACCACCCCCCCCCCACCCCCACGGGAAGCTCCCTACAGATTCGGAAGGGCATCTCCCTGGATATATACAGCTGTTTGCCGAGAACTGACCTTATTTTGCAAAACCGAACCTGCCGTTTCGAGAGCATGACGCTCTCTCCCAGCACCAACACCTTCCTGTGTGCCCTTCCGTAACGGAGAGTAATTTTCTCAGAACGGCCGGGAGCTGCCGTCTGATGTGCTCTCAGGAATCTACACAGGGTCTCTGGCTGCCATTAGTGAGATAATCTTCTCTAATACATTTTCTGCTTAGTTTTGGGTATGTTTTCATTAACTTTGTATCCAACAATGTTACTCGATGGCACTGAGCTCTCTGACCCAAAACTAGAGCCATTCGTGAAGGTATCCTGAAATCAGGACGGTTTAATCTCTTTCTAATCGTGGTATTTATCATTTCTTTTTTCTTGTTTTATCGTTTTGGCCAGAACCTCCAGAACCGCCCCCGGGGGGGCGGGGGGGGCACCAACTGCGGGCCGGAGTGACCGACGGCTTCCTCGACTCTCAGGGGGATGATGTGAAAGTCCCCGCTTGTAACCGGTGCCACCTTTTGACAGATACCCCTTGACGTGTTGAGCATGTTGCCTTGTGGTCTCAGTCTGTGTTTTTTTTTAAACGGTCAAGACAAGCTGTTTACTCTTGTCAGATGCCGTTTCTGCACGCGGTAAGAAAACCACAAGGATTTTCTCCTCAAATCTGTGGCTGTGGGAATCACAGCGGCTCCTGGAGGCGGCTGGCTCCCCCTTCTGCTCCCCTAGGGGCATTGCACTTCCTGGCCCCTGTGGCTGCCGGGAGCCGCCAGTGGCCACTCATCCCAGAGACTGCACACAGTGGCAGGCCCTCCGCGATCTCTGAGACCCCGGGTCCTGGATGACAAGAGGGGCCCAAACGACCAAAAGCCAAACTGGGGGGGCTTCCGTTCCTGCAACACAGCAGAGCGACCCTGGCTGACGCACTGTTGGTAGTCTCCCTTGCTGAGTTATCCTTGGATTCCTGGGAAAGCCCGGCTTGTTTAGGATTGTTGGGCTGGGGGGGAGGGGGGGTTCGCACACAGCGCCCCCCCCCCCCACCCGAGTGCTGGAACCAATTGAAAATAAGCAAGGGGCTTGGCGAGTGCAGGGCCGTGCCTAATTTTGCGAATTATAAACTCATAGGCTGCTTCATGGACTGTGCTTGTGGGTATGTTTCCCCCTGAAATTAGACAACCTTCCGGTCGCTGGCGGCCCTGGGCCTGGACCAGCTCCCCTCCGTGGAGGAGCAGAGGACGAGGAGAGGAGGTGGGATGCCCGCACCCTCTTTTTCCAGTTCCAGCACTCTCCCTGGGCCAGAGTGTGTGGCGGGCGGCAGAGGCCCGAGCTAAGGGACAGGCTCCGCGTGGAAAGAGGCGTCCGCAGCAGAGAAAACGCACGCCCCTTGCGGCCTCTCGTTTCTGCTCGCGGCCCGCTGCGCTGACGCGTCCCACAGCCACAGGTGCCTGCCTGCGTGTTGCCTTGGTGTCCTCTCCTGGGGCCGCTCTCCCGCGATCTGGTATCACGCTGACCCAGTGAGAGCCTCCCACCTTTCCTACCGTCCGGGGTAGTCTGTGTGACGTGAAGCACCCAAGCCCCCAGTTGTTCCGACCCCTGTGGCCTGTCCTTGCTCGTCTGGCCTTGGCCGTGCACGTGGCCTGTGGCCACTGGAACGGCAGCAGATGTGACACAGGGGACGCCACGGGACTCGCGTGTGCACGGGGCCCACCCTCTGGTCGCTCTGGGAGACCACACAGCACCGTGTGAACAGAACAGGATGCGTGCAGGGGGGCGTCAGCGACCCCCCCTCCTCCAGCAGAAGCCAGCCCCGCGGACCCCCAGCGGCAGCCGCGCGACGAGCCAGCCCAGGCCGCAAACCGGTAGTAAGGGCTGTTCAAGGCAAGAGTCAGAAGCCGCGGTTTTTACCAAAGTGCTGTTTACCCTCAGTAACGACGTCGTCTCGAGCGTCCGGCCTGGTGAAGGCTGGCGGGTGTCGGCAGTCGTGAGCCACCCCCCGGCCAGTCCCCCTCCCCAGGCACGGGGCAGGGCACCACCAGGCTGTCCGTTGCCTCGTCTGGCCGTTTCCGGAGCTCCGTGGCAGGGATTGAATCCCGCAGCCTTTTATGCGTGAACGCGTGCAGCCCTCAGCACGCGTTCGCGACTCACTCGGGCCTCACGCACCAATGTGAGCTCACCTTCACCGCAGACGAGTATCTCACCGCAGGGACGGGGGACTCACTTCTGATTCCAGACACCGACCAACGCTTCCCCTAGGAAGGGAGGTGAGGAGGCTGCTGTGGGGGAACAGGGTCCCCGGAGACGGGATCAGCCCCCCTCAGTCCCTGCCTTCCCAAAGCCACTGGTGGAAGACTCTTTTCTGGGGGTTCCCCTGAGGCCCCATGATTAGGGCCAGACAGTGGGGCCTGGGCTCCCCTAACCTGTGGCGCCCAGCAGAGCCCGGAAGGAGTAGCACCGCGGTCCGGACTGGACCTGATGTCACAGCAGGGAGACTCGGAGGCCCCTTCCCTCTCTGGGTGCAGGGGGGGCCCTGACTCTCCCCCCTCCCCTGGGGTGACAAACGAGCGTGGCCTCTGGGAGGCCTGTGGTCACCATCCAACCCTTGTCACCATCATGGTCCCACGGAGAAGTGAGGGCACCCCAGGCCCTCTGCACACGGAGCCTGCCGGCAGAGCTGGGGCCTGAACTGACCCCCGGCGGCCACGCCAGGCCCACAGGGACCAGCATGAGAGCGTGAAGGGCCACTGATGCGGACACTCGGGGGGCAGCGGCACCCCAGAACAGGGTGTGGCAGAACCGCAGGGCACACGCCGCGTGGAAAGACAAGGTGGGCCAGTGCCAAGCACCACTTGTGGTGGCCAAGCACGAGCCACCGCCTCTGGGCGCCCCGTCGGGCCCTGGGTGGCTGGCACTTCATTCCAGGCCTGTCCCCGTCCCAGGTCCCGCATCCCCGCAGAGCCCCCGGACAACGCAGCTCAGGGTCTCGAGCCAGAAGAGGAAGAGGAAAGAGCCGGCTATGCAATGGGATTTGCATGGGGCCCGCCCCCCCCTCCCCCGGCCCCCCTCCCCCCGCCCCCCACCCCCCTTCCCTCACCTGTGGGACAAGCCCCCTTCCCTCACAGGTGGGCTGTGCTCAGACCAGAGCACGTGGGTGGAGACCGGGGGCTGGGAAGGGTGTGCCAGGGAAGGGAGAGGTGGGAGGGGCAGGGAGGGGCACAGCCAAGGCGGCGGCTCCCTGGGCAGAAGGGCAGGGGTGCGGCCCACTGCACGGGTGTCCCTAGCAGAGCCCTCATCTAAATAGCGGGACAAGGGCTGTAAGAAGGGGCGTGAACCCCCAACAGCCTCCAGGTCGGGGGGTGCTGGTGCAGGGGTGCGTGTGGGCCATTCGCCCATTCCTCCAGATGGTTGGGGCGGGGGCCCGGGGAGCGCCCCCTGCTTCCTCTGCTGGGGGCGGGCAGCAGCCTTAGCGACCATCTGCCAACGGTCATCAAACCATTTTTAAGCCAGAAACCTCTTTCCAAACAGATCCTCATGGAAACCACCATGTGTCAAACAGAGAAAACCCTGCCTGTTCTGCTTAATTTGGGGACCTGGGGGCGCAGCCTAGAAAAGTGAGCAGGGCCCAGCTGCACCCCGGCCCACCGCTGCCCCCCCGCCTTGTGTCCCCATCGCGCAGCCGCAGAGCCGGGAAGTGGATGGGACGCCGGCCCAAGGCTGACCCCTCTTCCTGACCAGACGAGGGCCACGAGCACCTTCGTTCTGCCTGGGTCCGGCCTGTGCTGGGGCTGCTGGCCAGCCGGGCACAGCCAGACGCAGCAGGGTGGGCCAGGGGCTCTGCACCACGTCGATGAAACACACAGCCCGCTAGAAAATTTCTGGAGCTCCAAGCCCCCGTGGCCCTGGGAGGGGGCCCTGGAACAGGTGAGGGCCATCGGGTCGGCACATTGACCGTCTTGCAGAAGGGCTGGTCCTGAAGCACCCAGGACCCCACTTGGCCGCACAGCAGAGGCGGGGAGCCCCTGTACCCCCAGCAATCCTTCTGTCCTAGGAGGCCACTTGGTGACTCCAAGTCCAACCCAGGCCAACTGACCACCCAGGAAGTCCACAGGTCTTGGCCAGGGACAATGTGGACCCCCGAGGTCACCAAGGGGGCTGTGCAGGGGCCTCTGGGGCCCTCCCAGGCCAGGGGGCCACTGGAAAGACCCCCAGGTGCCAGGGTGACGCTGATGTGCTGACACAACCTGATCGGCCATCAAGCCCTCCCTGGTGTCAGGTGGGGGCAGGTGAGGGAGGGCAGAGCCCTCAGCCCAGCTCCTCAGGGGGCAGGGAATGCAGAGAAGTTGGGGTTCTGGGTGCCTCCTGGAGCAAACCCTCACTGGCCTCAGCACTGCGGAGCCTGAGGCAGGTATCTGCTCTCCCTGAGACCCTCCATTCAGTCAGGTGTAACGTGTGGCAGAGAATCACAGGGAGGATGAGATGTGGGCCCCGGGGACATCGGCACCTCCCCTTAGGTTTCCAGGGGAGCTCACAATCCAAATGGCTACACTCGGGGGTCCTCGGCCCTAGGACCCAGGGCTCCCACCCCCTCAACACCTGGTCAGGCCAGGGGTCTGCTGCCTCAGGAGAACAGAACCTGGCTCGTCACCCAACCTTGGGCGCTCCGGCTCTGGTCCAGCGGTCTCCACGGCCGCCCAGCGGGAGGCCGCCAGTTTGCACTCTCGGTCATCAAAGGCCTGGAGGAGACCCTTCCCTAAAACCCCCATTTTGGCGGCTCAGCTCACAGAACAGCTCCCCAGACATGCGCAGGCAGGTGGACACGTGGAGGCGCGCACACACGGCACCGGCCGCCCGCCTGGGTCCACAGAACCGACCGGAACTCTGCAAGTGGCAGAGGCCCGGAAGGTCACCTTCTGATCCACGGGCTGGTGTGCGCCCCTGACCCCGGCCCAGGACCTTCAGCTTTGCCAGTGCAGACACCCAGGATGAAGCACGCTCCAAACACATACACGCAAACACATGTGCACGTGGCACGTTCACACCCAAGCCACGTCCGCAGACACACGCACACACCCGGCGCCCTGGGCTGTCGGGCCCCCTGTTGCGCAAAGTCAGGGGTGGAAGTCTTCCTGGACTACGATGGCCCAGAAAGGGCTTTGGCCACGCTGAGGGCAGGACAGGGCGGGACAGGGCTTTCTGGAGGCGGCTCGAGGGACAGAGGTCGTTGGGGGCCGCACTTGGCACAGGAAGCTTGCCACAGCCAGGCAGGCAAGTGTGCGCGGGCCCCCCCGCATCCCGTGCGCAGAGCGTGCGGACCGGGCCCCTCTCTGGACCTTCTCGGTCCGCTCGCCCCACAGGAAGCAGCGAGACCCGGGGCCGTGCACGGCAGCCGTCCGGACGCCCAGCACTGACCACACACACCGGCACAGCGTCTGACCAAGTTTATTGTGGAAAGCGAAGAATTGAACAAAGACTCAGAAAATAAATATCTGCAGAGAGGAAGCCGGCTCAGGAGGTGAGGAAGCTCAGGGGGTCAGCAGGAGGGGTGGGGGGTGCGGAGGGCGGTGGGGGCGAGCTGGGTGGCACGACCCTGTTCAAGCGCCTCCTGGGCGCAGGCCCCCGGGGCTGGAGCGCCGGGAGCGGCCGGGGACGCGGCTCGGGGCCGGCGGGAGCTCGCAGACGGTGTCCTGGCACCGGCAGCTCTCGATGTGGGTGTAGGTGTGGCTCCGCGAGCCGCCCTGGGGACAGTGCAGCACCACCTCCCGCTGGCTGGTCCGTTCTTCCTTACAGCAGGAGCACCTGTGGTCCAGGGCCTGGGCCTCGGCCGAGTACCTGCGGGCGGGCGGCCGGCCAGAGTGAGGAGCCACCCCCACTAGGGCGAGGAGCCCCTCCCCCACCCCTGTCCGGGGCCTGGGACTCACAGGGCGAAGGTCCCGCAGGACCCAGAGCAGTAGTTCATTGTGACCTTGTTGGTGCAGCCGGCGAAAGAAATTTCCCGGGTAACTGGGATGGCGGAACAGAAGATCCTGGTCTCGTTGCGAGGGATGCCTGCCAGGAGGGGGGTTGGAGGCTCTGGGCTGGGGGGCGGGGTCTCCACACCCCGGGGGGGCCCGCAGGTTCTCCCTCACGGCCTCCTCTCCCTCCTCGAGTGCCCCAGCCCCGGCCACCCCACAGCAAGCAGGGCCCCCAGCTGCTGCCCCCCAATTTAACATCGGCTGAGAGTGGCACAGAAGGGGACGGGAGTCCCGGGACATCATCCCCTGTGCCTCCTTCACCCCCGCCCCAGGGTCCCAGAGGGAGCTCCCCTGCCGCGCCGTGTGCCCCAGAGATGCCTGCCCGCCAGGCTGTACTCACATTTCTTGCAGCAACCATTGGGCATGAGAGTGATGGAACCCTGGAAGGAAGGAGAACGAGCCTGGGACCCCCAGACCACCCCCCCCCGGCCGTGAGCAGCCCCGTCCTGCCTCAGGGTGGGAAAGGGCAGGTCCCGAAGAAAGGACCCCCACTCACCGGGAGGCAGATGCTGGGGTCAAAGTCGGGGCAGGTGATGTTGGAGACCGAAGAGATGAGCTGGTTGTGAATCTTCACGCAGCTGAAGAATGTGCAGTTATTCTTCGGGTCATGCTTTATGTCCCCGGGCTGCAGGGCACAAGACAGCCTGGTGAGACCCACAGGAGGCCCACCCGGAAGACAGACAAGAAACGCCCTGCAGGTTTCCAACCACCCAGCCAAGTGCAGCTCCTGTCGGACAGAAGGTCCAGCCTGCAGGCCCACAGCCACCAGCCTAGAGCGCCCAGACACGTCCACATCCTAACCCCTGCACCTGCGGATACGACCTTATCTGGAGAAAGAGTGTTGAGAGGTGAGATTAGCTTAAAGATGCCAAGATGAGACCATCCCAGATTACACGGGTGGTTCTAAATCCAACAACGAGTATACTTATAAGAGACAGGCGGGGCCACAGGAAGGTGAGCCAGAAAGTGGAGGGACGCGGCCACAAGCCCGGGGCCGTCTGGAGCCCCAGAAGCCAAAGAGGCAGGAAGGCTCCCCCAGAGCCCTTGAAGGGACCGCAGCCCTGCGACACTTCCAGCCTGGACTCCAGCTCCAGACGAAAAGACTCGGTCACTCCTGGTGTTTCCAGCCCCAGTCTGCGGTCACGGCCACCCCAGGACACTGGAACAGCCATGCCCGGCCCTGGGAAGACCCTGCTGGGGCGGCGGGAGGCATCCCAGGCCTTGCCCGTGGCTGCGGGCCGGCCCCTCCTGGGTGGGGATGGGAGCAGGCCCCTCGCTCACCTTTAGGATGATGGGTTCCTTGCCGGGCCTCTTGATGATGCAGTGGGTCTGCTCGCACTTACCACAGCACTCTCCGGGGGCCTCTGCCAGCTCGAAGCCCTGCGGGATGCACACGGCTAGGTTGGTGCGGGGAGGAAGGGAGCCACGGAGGTGGCCGCGGGATGGCCCGTGGCCTCCGGGGGGACGGGAGGGAGGCTTACGGGGCTGCAGGAGTTGTCACAGGGCACGTGGGTGCAGGAGATGACGTTGAGCTCGGTGCTGCTGTTCCTGCGGTTGGTGCACACGCAGTCCTGGCACTTGGAGGAGTAAACTGGCGACCCCGGCTGAGGGCACAGAGAGGAGCGGGTGAGGCGGGGCTACCGCCCACCACGGAGGCCCCAGAGCGGGCACCCTTCCCGGCACCCTGCCCAGGCTCACCTGGTACTCGGCATTCTGGTGAACGCACACACCCTTGGGCACTGGGAGGAAGAGAACGGGGACGTGGGTCAGGCTGGACAAAGTAGACACCTGGGCCCAGGGGGAGTGTGACCACCATGCGGGGTGACCCCACGGTCAGTCCCACCCCCCGGGACAGCACGGACACTGAGCCCAGGGGGTGTGTGGTCGCCACGCAGGGTGACCCCACGGGGCTCTCAGCCCCACCCCCCGGCCCCCACTAACCACAGGTGTAGGTAGGGCAGCACTTCCCAGGTGTGATCTCACTCTTCGCTTCAAATCCCAGTGGGCACTTGGACGGCGTCGCCGGGCACAGGCTGGTGTTGCACTCTGGGGGGAGGGGGGAGACAAGGGGAAGGAGGGGGCTGCGGGCACCAGCCTCCTCCGACACCCGTGCTCAGGTGGACATGCCCCAAAGGTCCCCAAGTGAGCGGCTCCCCAGCTCAGTGAGGAGGTGAAAACACCGTCGGGGGCTGCCGGGCGACTCCTGGGCCCCCAGCACCCAGCACCATCCCGGGGGTGGCCTTACTGCAGGATGTGATGTTGCAGCAGGTGTCGGCAGGGTTGACCTCTGTGAGCGGGTAGGTGCCCTCCTCCGTGCACTGGGGCAGCTCCTGGCTGCACGTCTTGGGCAGGCAGGAAATGCCGCTCCCGCCCTCCAGACAGACACAGCTCTTGCAGTCGAACTCGAAGTGTTCCCCAAACTGCAGGCAGGAAGTGGGTGGGCAGGGGGGGGTCACAGGTGCCACTTGGGTGAGGCGGGCTGGCACCCAAGACCCCCTGCCAGGGCCACGCCGCAGCACATCCACAGTCGGCCGGATGAAGGCACCACACCTCGCGTCCCACTCAGGTCCCGTAGGACACCTGTGCCCTCCCCACCTCCCAGCACGTGGGGGCAGGTCACTGACATCACAGCTGTGACCTGCTCCTGGCACTTGCTGGCACACGGGAAACACATGACACATGTATGGGGCTCGCAGACTAGAGCTAAGGCATCAACCATATGTAGGAGACGGGACAACACTGTGGCCAGGATGTCATCTCAGGTTTAGATAGAGCTTCAGATGGCCCATGGGTGGGTGGCATGAAGGTGTGGATGGACACATGGGCCAGTGAGTGGATGGATGGATGGACAGATGGACGGACAGACGGGTGGATGGATGGATGGATGGACGGATGGACGGACAGGAGGACGGATGAACAGACAGGAGGACAGATGGATGGACAGATGGACAGATGGATGGATGGATGGATGGATGGATGGATGGATCAATGGACGGGTGGGTGGTTGGATGGATGGATGGGTGGATGGATGAATGGACGGACAGACGGACGGATGGATGGATGGGTGGAGAGTTTGACAGACAGATGGATGGACAGATGGACAGTTGGATGGATGGATGGATGGATGGATGGACAGATGGACGGACAGATGGGTGGATGGATGGATGGATGGATGGACGGACAGAAGGACGGATGGACGGACAGGAGGACAGATGGATGGATGGATGGATGGATGGATGGATCGACGGACGGGTGGGTGGTTGGATGGATGGATGGGTGGATGGACGGATGGATGGATGGATGGATGGGTGAAGAGTTGGACAGACAGATGGATGGACAGATGGACAGATGGATGGATGCATGGATGAATGGATGGATGGATGGACAGATGGACGGACAGACGGGTGGATGGATAGATAAATGGATGGACGGATGGATGGACAGGAGGACAGATGGACGGACAGGAGGACAGATGGACGGACAGATGGATGGATGGACAGACAGATGGATGGATGGATGGGTGGAGAGTTGGACAGACAGATGGATGGAGAGTTGGGTGAGTGCACGGATGGGAGGATGGATGGGTGGGTGGATGGATGGAGGGGTAGAAGGTGGGAGGGAGAGAGGGAGGGAGATGCATGGGTGGGTAAGTGACTGGGTGTGGGTGTCCGGATTACCCTGCTGGCTCAGCCCTCCGGATGTAAATAACATGACTCAGGGTCTGAGACTCCTGGCTTCTTCTTGCCACCCACCCTGGTCCCCAAAATTCAGGGCTTATGGGTGAATCCTACCGTGGCACCAAGAGGAAAGGCCTACCTTTCTAGGCACATTGTCAGGTCCCATACAGCCTAGGAAGGGAGAGGAACAAAATCGTGTTAGCAGAGTCCCGGTGCCACGGGATCAGGGTGGGCTTCACGGAGGCAATGTGGGCAGGCAGCGTACCACACATGTCCACGCAGGCGTCGAATCCCGGGGCGTAGTTCATGGTGCCCTCGGGACAGAAGCAGCCCTCCACCAGGATGCTGTCGTTCTTCTCGAAGGATCTGGGGATGAGAGGGCATCATGAGGTGGGTCTGTGCTCCGGCTGGAGGCCCGCCGCCCCCGTGCGTCTTCCAGCAACTAACCCAGACTTGCAGCTGGGTTCCTCTGGAGGACCACAGGCCCGGTACTCCCTGTGAGGCGGACACGTCAGCACTGCAGGAAGGGGACAGGAATCAGAGAAGCCGGAGCCGGGGGGGGGGGGGGGGGGGGACCGGTGAGTGACATTCCTGCCCCGGCGGGGGTGAGCGGCTGCCCGGTGTCGCCCACCTTGGCGCCCCGTGCCGTCCTGAGAAGGGAGGCAGGTGACGAGCTGTGCTTGGCGAGCCCGGCAGCAGCCCCAGGCCCCAGCCCCTCAAGCCTGCCCTTCTTCCCACCCCACGGTCCTGCCCGGCTCTCCCTGGACGCCTGGCCTCCCACAGGCGTGGCTACAGGCCGTAGCCAGAGACCCCACCGGCCCGTGGGACCACAGGTCTGGGGCAGGGGCAGGCGGGCACGCACAGCAGGCGCCGTTGGTGTGGTTCCGCCAGTCAATACAGACGCCCTTCTGGGCACAGAGGGTCGCGTAGGTCTGCAGGCTGGCGCACTCCAGGCCCGAGCCGGGCACGAAGCAGCTGTCGTACACGCAGGCGTCGTAGTAGTGCTGGGGGGGTGCCACGGCGTGGCACTGGGCGAACAGGCTGTGAGGGAGGACGCAGGGGTCACGCTCCGGCCAGCCCTCCCCGCCCCCCTCATGCTCCCCACCAGCCCAGCACCTCCACCCGGCTGCCCTCCTAGAGCCTGGCTCAGCCTGCACCCACCCAACAGGCGCCTGTGGGCTGCCCGTGGCAGGAGAGCAAAGGGCCGCCCTGGGGAAGGGGGGTCGGCTCTGCAGCCCGAGGGCGAGGTGCTGTGCGCCCGCCTCCCGGAGGCGGAGGCTGCCGGGTGCCGGGACCCCCTCCAGCAGCCGTGGCAGGGGGGCCACGCAGCCTCGGCCCGCACACCTCTGGGAACAGGCACTCGCTCCCCGTGGATGCCAGCTCCTCTCCGTCTCAGCCCAGGTCTGCCTCCCTGACATCAGCCCTGCACGCCAGCTCGGTCCCGGCTCAGCCTCTCTCCCTAAGGCGCCCGGCGCGGTCGACCCCGCCAAGGCACAGGGACGTCTCGCCACACTGCTCAGCCCCAGAGACGTCGGAAGCCCCAGCCCTGGGCCGTCCGAGGCCCGGCACCCGCCCGTGGCGCCCTGACCTCACTCTGACATGCCAGACATGCTCCGTGTCCGGCCCCCCTTTGCAGACTGGGAGTGAGGCCCCAGCCCCTCAAGCCTTCCCTTCTTCCCACCCCACGGTCCGGCCCAGCTCTCCCTGTACGCCTGGCCGCTCCCTGAGCCCCTGCCCCTGGCGGGTGACGAGAGGCGGCCAGGCCTGGGGGGGTACCTGTCTTTGATGAGGTCACAGAGAGGGGAAGCACAGTCCTTGGGCGTGGGGCTGCCCGCTGACGGCGTGCTAGCCGGGGGCTTGGTGGTGACGCCGACGTGGGGACAGTGTGGCTTGGAGGGGTCGTTTACCACCCACTGGTCGGCCGCGACCTCGCAGTTGGAAACGACCTCTCCGCTGGGCAACACGCAGTCGTCGGCGGTGTTGTTGGTACACGTGCCTGCGTCGGGACGGAGGCCCACGCTGAGCCAGCACCAGAGCCACGCCGCACAGCAGACAGCCCCGGGCCGGCCCCGGGGCCCCGGCGACCGCCAGGCCAGGGCCGAGGGCGCAGAGCGGACGAGACTCCGGCCGGCTCGTTCCCACAGGGGCCCACCCGGCATGACGGCCCCGGGACCCGAGCCGAAGAGCCAGAGAGCCAGCCCCCGGCTGGCCGACCCTCACACCGGCCTCGGCCCCAGCCAACCCCCAACTCCCCCCCAGGGGCGGGCCCGGGAGCTGCAGGGAGCCCGCAGGGGCTGAGGGGCTCACCACACTGGCCCTTGGTGTTGTTGCCAAACCGGTGGTGGGGCAGCCTGATGGAGAAGGACAGGCCGTTGTAGGAGATGAGGGCGCCCAGCTCGGGGATGTCCACCACGTAGTTGATGCCCGACTGGGACACCTGCAGCCCATACTTCCTGTAGGGCAGCGCCACGGCCTGCCCGTTGACCTGCACCTGTGGCCGGCACACTCGCGGTCAGGACGTCCCCTTGGGGCGGACGTGGTGGCCCCTCCCCCGGGGCCCTGCCCCGGCCGCCGTGCGTGTCTCACAGGAGCGAGTCGGGGCAAGCTGCATCTTGACAGAGCATCTGGGGCCGCCCCAGCCCTACCTGTTGTCAGGCCTGTGCGTCCGGTGTGGGGACCCCTGCCTGTCCCCTGCCCCCATCCACCCTGCCCCTTGCCCTGGTCCCTTTCCCACTTCCTTTCCACTGCTCCGGGCCAGACTGGTCCCGGCCGATCCCCGGGGTGAGATCACAAGGACGCTGTCCCGAGAGTCCCCCTGTGCCAAGGGGTGAGGCTCCCCAGGCCTCCGGAACCAGCAACTCCACGTGAGTGTGTGCAAGAGGACTGCAGCCAGGGGGCGTGCGGGAGGTCAAGGTCCCTGGTCCCTTGAGAACAGCCCAGCCCCCTGCCGAGCGAGGGAACGGGGAACGCCCCCCCCCTCCCGCAGTGCCCCGCCACCTGGCCAGCGCACCTGCACTTTTATGGGGGCCATCTGCACCGTCTTGATCAGCACCTCCTGGGTCTCGTGGCGCACGATGAGCGTCCGGGGGCAGGACACCCGGTCGTTGACGTCACAGTGGTAGTTGTCGATGTAGACGCCGAAGCCGTCTACCGTGGGGCTGATCTCCTCCACCAGCACGTACGTGCAGTTGCCCTGGTAGCTGTAGTAAAGCCCGTCGAAGGTGACATAGTGTGGGTCCCCCCAGCCTGTGCAGTAGCCTGCGGACAGAGCTCCCGTGAGCCACACCAAGCCCCAGACTGGGGGAGCGGCTAGGACAGGGACAGGAGTGGGCGGGAGCCCAGGAACAGTGAGAAGACAAAGCAGGAATCCAGGGGGTCCCGGAAATTCTGGTTCCTGGAGCACGAGGGGCGTCCAAGCCCGTTCGGTGGGACAGAGCCTGGCTTGGGAGCCAGAGGGTCCGGGTTCGAAGTCCAGCCCTGCCCCGCCCACCCCGGGGCGGGGGGTGGTGGCGGGGAGCAGCCTCCGTGGTGGAGGTGGCTCCAGCAGGCACACCCCTCCCCTGCCTGGCCCCCCCCCCCCCCCCCCGCCCCAGAGGAGGAACCAGCAGGAGGCACGAGAAGCCCCTGAGGGCCTGCAGCCCCACACCCGCAGAAGGGGGAAGGAGGGGAGGGTCCCGCGGCCTGGGCCAACTCACAGTCGCACTCCCAGTGCCAGCAGCAGCCATCAGGGTCCATGACGCGCACAGGCAGGAGGTCGTTGGAGCAGGTGGGCATGGGTGGGGGTTTGCACTTCACCTGCACTAACTCCACTGTGTTGTCGTATTTGCAGATGGCCATGGTGCAGTTACACAGCCACCACGTCTCGTTCTCCTACAGCGGGGAAGGCGCAGGGTCAGCGGGGACCAGCCTGGAGCCCCAGCCTGTACAGGGGTGGCCCTGAGCCCTCCCCTGGAGCCTGGGGACCGCCCCGTGCAGGAGGCAGCCGCCTCAGCCTCACCACTGGCCAAGCCTCCTCCTCCTCGCCCGGCAGGGGAGGCGTGGCCCAGAAGGTGGGCGCTCGGCCGACCTGCCCCCAAAAGGCCGCTCGGAGGACAGAGCGTCGCGGGTGACCGGCAGACGTCCCTGTCCTCCCAGGTGGGCATGTGTGCGCAGAGCCAAGGGGACCAGGACCACAAGCAGCCCACAGCCCACTGACCTCTCTGGGAGGATCAAAGTCTAAGCACCCAGGGGGCTTGGTGGTGGCCAGAGTGCTCGATGCCATGGACGTGGGTGGTTTCGGTGTTGAGGCCGGCGTTGGCGAGGAAGGGGTGGGCGTTGGGGAGGGTGTGGACGGACACGACCAGTTGAAGAACTCAAAGGTGCAGGACAGCGAGCAGTTCACGTAATAGCAGGTGTCCCCATGCGTGCCGTTATACACCGTTTCACCTGCCAGGGGACAGAGACCAGACCTACACTAGCCACGCAGGGCTGGCTCCCAGAGCATACAAACAGGTGCCGACAAGGCCACTGGAGGGAAGCCCACCTCGACCGTGTCCCTGATTCACGGCGACAGCCGAGAGGGGCAGACTGCAGGGACGGCCGTCCAGCCGGCTCCCGGTGGGGACTTCAGCCTAACCCCTTACCACTGGTGACAGGAAACCAGAACCCACCCGCCTCTGGCGCCTAAGAGTCAGAAGTGACAAGCCTGGGTACCTGGGGCAAAGTATGTGTCATTCAAGACGCAACACTTTTCCAGGGCTGTGCTGGTGATGGAACCTGTAGTTTCAACAATGCTGGGGGAGGATATTGGGGTCAGCGTGGGGGGGAGAACACTGGAGGTCGTGGCGCTCGTGGTAGGTGGCCTGTGTGGAGTGGATGACGGGAGTCCTGGCAGTGTGAGCGTTTCTGTGGACGTCGTTGACACAGTCGTGGGTGTGGGTGTGGAGGGGGTCTCCGTGCTGGTGGTGGTGGTAGTCGAGGCCGGGGTCGGGGT